GGGGTGATGCATGTAAGTTTCCATGTAAACCCAACAAAGACATGAGTGTGTAGCAGTTTTTTTCTCTGAGGGAGAAAACAACCCCTGACCTGATTGTAGATGGTGACGGAGCGAAGGCGGTGCAGAAAGAGCAGCAGGGAGGGGTGCACGTCATGGAAAAGGTTTCTAGTCTGATGGCTTTCAGAGCGCAGAGGAAGGCAGATTTTGGTGGTCCAGCTGATAAAACAAAAGGGGATCATGGCTCTAAAATTTCTAACAGTATTGATAATGTAAATGTAGCTTATATAAAAAGTATCTGTTTAAATAAAAGTATCATGAAATAGAGAGGCCGATGGAAATTACAGATATGTAAAATAATAAAGTCTTGCTGTGACAAAATAAAGAGTATTTTTCTCAATTATTCAACCTGGTTTGATTTATCTCCTTTGGTTGTGCATCCAGGGGCCTCCTGTCTTCAGTCCAGTGGGGAAGAATGTACCCCATGGGGCCACACGTCTTGTCGAAGCACAAGTGGAATCCATTGGAGTGGATCTCAGGACAGTCTGTGACCTTAAACACAGACTTGAAGCCAATACCTTTTTGCCCTGCATGAACCAGCACAAGCATTATTAACAATAATCCAACATGTAAATGACTATCAAACATAAACGTTTTCTAGAAGCACAGAGTTAATAGTTAAAAACATGCAAGTAATTACCAATGTATCCATATTTGTGTTTGCCCTTCGTGCTGCGACCCACATCACAGATGGCCTTGATGTTCTTCTCCTGGAAGCCCGTCTCATTGTTGAGGACGGTGATGCAGTCTTTCTCCATTACAAATGCCAGCGCTGGAACCACACCGTTSTCTGAGGGATAGCTGTTATCGTCAGCGTTCTGTAAATGAAAACCAAAAAAAAAAGTTGCTCTTTTTTATTCTAACATGTTTCATAACGATTTATAAATCTTTTTAGGTTTCAACTTTCAGCCGTATGTGTTTATCTGCAGCCACCTGTATGAGTTCCAGGACAAAGTGTGTGTCTTTGCTGTAGAGCTCAGTGGAGAGGCGGTCTAAGCTGCGGCCCAGTCGCTCCTGGTGGACCTGCATCAACTTCTGACCCTCTGCGTTCAGTTCCACCCCAATGCCAAACTCACTTTTTCTGTAAAGTGCAAAAAGAAAGAATCGCAGTTTTAATCTGAATCAGTTTCATTTAGGATGTAATGAACAGAGCAGCTGTAAAGAGGCATTCCTGTACAGTTTGGGTTGAGCGACAGGAAAACTTTTTCTATTGTTTAGTTAACAATATATTCACAGTAGTGTGTGTGCATTTTTTTTGGCTTTGTTTGCGTAGATTCTCTGTTTACATATTCAACTTAAGGCCCAAAACATACGATTTTAATGAAAGTATTGTATTTAAGTGACAACCACACAGCCTCAGTATGTGCCAGAGAAAATCACATTTAGTTATTAGACACTGCCTAACTGTTTTGGACTAAATTTAACTTAGCAGTGAATTACAGCATTTCATTAAAAAAGAAAAATCAAAACTATGACGGAGACTTGCTATATTTTGAAGCAAAGCCCAAGACGACTGGAGCTGGATACACTGCTAACAGTAATGTGAATAAAATACCTGTTTACCTAGTTGGGTAGTTTCTGTTTATTTTCTTGTGTAATTTTGTGTAAAGTGTGAAGCAGCAACTGTCTGCAAATATGCAACAATGGGCCGGCTCACAGTCTAACATCCATGGTCTGTGAGCCAGCTGATGTGTTAGGAAAGCCTGTTGTGTGCGTGTTACAAAAATTGTAGCCCGTTTTATTAAATTTGGTTGCTGTCTAGTAATTGCCTTTTAAATCCAACTAGGCTGTTGTATCTTAACTGCAGACAATTCGCTCGATTCTAATCTCCCTTTACTTTTCTTTCTCCCATTGACATAGAATTTCAACTGGGCCAATCAGTGAACAGAAGGAGGAGTTTTGAACAATGAAGTCAATTTTCTGCACTATTTTAGTCTGCCTGTAGTTTACCAAYGGCAGCTGAAGAAGTGAATGAAGGTTTCTAAATTAAATTAAATTTGTCTTGTAAAGCCYGCAGCACTCAGTTACAGCCATCTTCACTCAGTCCAGATACTGCAAAGAGTAGGGATGGGTACCGAATTCGATACTTTTTTAAATACAGACCGAATTCTGTCGGTACTACCGAGTATCTATTCACGTAACATCAAACGGTACCATGTTTCGGTACCTAAACGCATCATTGCGAC